AAAGGAGCATGTTCTAGAGATCAAACACATTACAAAACAAGAGAATCTTGACAGCGTATTTATCTTATTTTTTTTCCACTGTCTTATATGTGGCTTAGAACCACAGCTGTGATTTCCTAAAAAGAATAAATAACAAACAAAAAGAGTCTTAACATTTCAATGCATTTGCTTATCTCTCAATTGTGTCTTACTCACTCACTCACTCACTCACTCACTCACTCACTCACTCACTCTACCACCACTATCACCCTGCTTCTTCTGCTTCCCAAACCTGGGAATTAGAAATACAGCAGTTAGAGGTACAAACACTCCCTTTGAAAGTCATCATTTTTTAGACAGATGTACTTATAGAAAGTAAGCATGATTCAGACATACCTATCTCCGAAGCTGTTGATGGTTCAACAGAAGTCAATCTAGGTGTAATCTTCAGGAAGATACTACTTTCTCCACTGGTATTAATTGCAAACCCATAGGGTCTTACCAATAATGTAACCCTGTACATTCCAACTGGTAATAATTTCATCTGACAAAGGACACTAGTGTGATTTGAACTTAGGATTTTGCAGGTTATGTTGTTTGCTTCTACGTGCAATGATTGACTATCTGCAGTGAGGCCAGATCCTATAATGTGAATTATTATGTGATCTGTATCACCTGAAAATTCCAAGAAAATAACATGTTAATTTATTACGTTATATATTACTTCAAGTTACAACAAGATAAATGTTGTATAGATATAATAAATATCATATAGATATTACATTAAATTATGTTAAAATCAATGTAAAATACAATACAGTAATATATGGTGATAAAAGGGAAGACCACTGATTTCAATCCTCCTACACTTTCTGATCCTTCATGTGACAACGCCATGCTTAGCAAGCTGCCACATAACGTTTTGCTAGTTGTCACACAATTTTGGAGTCTTCATTTGCAAATGAATGGCTTACAAAAAAAATCATATGGAGCACCTGGACTATGGGAATTATCACAAAATTACAGATATCCCTGTGAATGAGGCAATATAAAAAGCCACGGGCTGATGTTTCTATCTCACCTGTCCCACATGGACAAGATCCTTCACTGAGATGAGTGTTCCTATTTCTACCCTCAGGAATTGCTGCAGAATATTAAAGCATGCAATGGCAAAGACTCTATAGTACTTCATGACAGCGAACTGTTTGAGATGTTAAAACCACATCATAGCCACTGCTCTTGTAGAGATTCTAGGTTGATCTTCCTGTATATTTGTATCCATTTTGGTGACTGTTTTAGTGTCTCCTTTGGTTGGTCATAACCTATTCCCAAAAGCATTTGCAGGTTCACTTCCTTGATTCAAAATAGCGACTGTTTTTATTGTTACCTGCAGATCCAAGGGTAGGTTATTAATAACCTAACTCAGTTCAGGTCTATGGCATCTTAAGGACTAATAAATATACTATGGCATAAGTTTCATAGCTGATTAAATGGACTGCAATCCACAAAAGCTATCATGGTAATAAATGTTTTAATATTTGAGATGTGACAAGACTTTATTGATTTATTTGTAACAGATTAATATATTCTCTGCAAGCGTCTGGAATCAGGCCTGCACAGTTGACTCTTCCTTTGTGTCTCAATATCTACTGACATCTGTACCACTGGAACTAGGGACAGGGTAATTTGAAGGCTAAGCTCATGAAAGCAACCACCCTTTCAGGAAAGCCTTTTCACTTCCTTGCTTACAGCGCCTCCAAGTTTGATAAAGACCTTCATTTTTAAGAGGGCCTTTAGTTTATGAATCTGCTGTGGTTCTTATCAAACCACTGCTTTGTTACCTTAAAGATTTGTATTGCCCCTGAAGTATTCTTCTGCTGTGCTATTGTTTTATATTTTACACTGTTTTATATTTATACATATTACATTATATATTTTTTATATTTCTGTTTTAACTGATGCCATCATTTGCTTAGAATCATAATGTATAGGCAAGATATAAATCCTTGAAATGAATTAATGTCTGAAAGAAACATGATTGGGGAGAGTTTGTTGAGCCCCAAGGAAAATCTATTTGTTCCCATTCACTGAAGCCATCTCCAGTCTGAAAGTGTCATACTTCTCAACCAGTGACTTGGCCAATGACCTGATACATCAATTTCTTAAAGACCAGCAAGTTCAAACTTCATTACCATTCAGTAATTAGTTCCATGAAAAAGTTATAGATCTTAGTATATAGATGCTACTTCTTCATTTTCCCCCTGAAACCAGGAAAATCCCTATAAACCCTCCTGATAATACTAGTGTATCCATTTGAAGAAGCATTACCTGTAGAATAGTCAATGCTACTGACTAAAGGGGTCAGTTCCCTGAGATACTGAAAAGTGCATGAGCCGGAACAATTTGCAGGAATGTCATTCACTGTAACTACAACCTGAATTGACAAGAAATAGTATTAATAAATTAATGAATAAAACAATGAGGCCAAATGAACAGTTTAGAATATTAAGAATAATTAAAACCAAAACAATGGCTATATTCGTTGATTTTAAAAGTTGTAGTACAAGTAAACAGTTTTGACTGTGGATGAAAAAAAATATATAATATTTTAATGAAATAAGGAAAACATTTAACATAGAACACAACCATTAGCAAAATCTAGCAAGGAACTCCAAAATGATATAGGAAAGGAAGATTTTGACAAGACTAGGGAGGTGGCCTATCTGAAATGAACCTGCCAGCCAAATGTTTTCAAGGGCCTTCTGGGTCCTCCAGAATATGTCACAAGCCCATTGGTCTTCTTTCAAGGTAGCAGCCCTCACAGGCTCGTTTTAGCTTGATTTTTAGGTGCATGAACTTCTTACATCAGGGCTTGCATTAAACAGGCTCTAGGGCTATAGCTTGCAATCAATCAGCATCATATTTCTGTTACAAGCTTTATTATATTTTTTATTTATTTACTATTAAATTTGTATGCCGCCCATCTTCCCCCAATGGGTGACTCTGGGTGGCTATATACATTATATAGAAGCTAACCTGGACTGGGACTATAGCATAAGGGGAAGAAGAATCTAATTCACAGAAGTTTCCCTCCGTGCCTGATTGTTCCTTGAAGGAAAGGAAGACAGGAGGCAATCCGGATCAATTCTATGACATTTGGGCTAAAGATCAAAGCTTTCATGACTGTTTCCATCTTCCCTCCCCCTTTTTGGGGGGGGGGGACTTGCAAACTTTATCTTACCTCTAGAGACCTTGGCAAAGATGGATAGAAAAATCTAACTTGAACTGCCATGAAAAGAAACTAATTTTGGATAACTTCTTAATAAATATATCAATATTCTCTTTTGATTTCAGTGACACACCCACCACCATGTTTCAAATAAACCATATAAATAATCAGGTAATTTCCTTTCTAATAAAGGGCCAAAGGATTTCTGTTGATTTCCACCATCAGTTTAAGAATATGTGTAGCCCTTGCATGACCAAACTAGTTTTCCCAAGTTTAGGTGAAATTTTGCTGTCTTTTCTTCAAGATTACTCTTCTTCAAGATTACATCATGTTATTCGACTGGATCAAATAAGTAAGTAAGTAAGTAAGTAAATAAATAAACAAACAAACAAACAAACAAACAAACAAACAAACA